TGAAGCGGGGGACGGCCTAGCAAACCCCACGTTATTCGCCTCTTGGAGAAAAAGCCTGTTTGTTCTTCCTCGAGAGCGTTGTCCCAGCTGCCCGGTTTGCAGGGGGTAGGAAGATGTCTTGTTTATTTAAAGTTTTCACGTCAGGCTGCACACGCTGTTCGATCTCACGCAGCAGCAGCAGCAGCAGCAGCGTACGCGGCGGGCACGTAGCCTGCTCCGCTGGGAAAGCAGCTGGGGCTGTTTTCCGCAGAAGGGAAGGAGGAAGCGGGGTGGAAAACTCTCGAGTAACTTTCTCTGAAAGCTTCTGCTGTGACTTTGGCAGCTGAGAGATGGTGGCCCGGGTTTTTGTGTTGAGGAAAAGTAGTTTATACGTTTAATTGAGGTTGTAAGGGTTTTGTAACATCTCGTAGAGGCTGTTTACGCGTCACTAGGGCTTTTTCCTGTTCCTAATTGAGTTTCTCCTCCTCTATTCCATTTAAAAGTACATTAGAAAAATCCCCTATTTATCTGCTGACATAAAGAACTTTTACATCCCACTGCTTTTCTTTCTCCCTCTTGGAAAGGTGTTGCAGGATGTTGTGCCAAAACAACTACTGCACCACTGGATCGAGTAAAGATTTTGCTGCAAGCTCACAACCACCATTACAAACATCTAGGTAAGATGGCTGCTGTGTGTCTAATTTTTGGTGTTAAATGCAATGGGCATGGTTTGGGTATGTTGATTTATTCAGCAGTGTGGCTGATAAAAAAAGGCACTAATCAGAAGGTTGTATCCCTCTGGTCCGTCTCTGTGCCGTGTTTTGTTAGTGTTTAACAAGAAAAACAGAGCCCTGCACAAGTAAGTTGTGATATGGGTTGATGCGTTAGAGATTGAGATGTCAGAATAGTCCTCAGTAGGGCACAAAAGAGGTAGGCTTCATCTGGCCCTTCCTGAAGCCGGCAGGAGACTGGTTATGGCAGGTTCAAAGCTGGGATCGTTTATGTAGAAACTGTCACCGCTGGTAAGTGCTGCGGTCTGCTCCGGGGTTGCCAGTTCCCAGGGGCTGTGGGAAGCGGTGCTTCTCAGGGCTTGGTAGCCCTTACGCGGGCTGGTGATTACAAGCCAGTGACCGCCAAACCCTGCAAGACTCGCGTGCACTTACGCTCGCAGGGAGGAGTGTGGTTGATAGGAATTGAAGATAGATGTGGATTTCTGCTTGGCGTGAGGTGCAGGTGATCTGCATTTGGCATCTGTGTTGCATCATGGTGAGACAATAAACTCTCAGTTGTCAGCATGTTCAGAACCATTCACTGTGGGGCTGTAACAGTGCCCTCTTGTGCATAGTATTTGAGGTATTTTATGTCATATATTCTTGAAATATGTAATAACTTGCGTTCTGAAATTTAAGTGTGCTACAGTTGTCAAGAAAAAAAAAAAAGAGTTTGAGTTTGTTAATTTTACATGTAATGAAACTTTGGAGTTTTCACTTAGACACCAAAGATAATTTTTTTTAAAGGTTGGAAAAATACATCTTGAAACAAAATTCAGTGGATATATATAATCACCTCATTGTACCAAAAAGGGAAATACAGTAACAGAAATACAGTAAAGCTTTGGTGACACAGTCACATAAGTATGCACTCAAATCTGCAGTCTAAGAATTGAAGGATGAAATAATTTGTTTGACTGACATTTAAAATCCTTATTTTATGTTTGCTTTGTACTGTGCCATAATTGGCGAGTAATTCCCTATTCAGGTTGTTAGATATGATGCTGATTATTTGAAATGTCTCTGACTTGAATGCATATCCTTGTTATGTGTAGGCAAAAAATAAAATTATGTGGATGAGATACCTGTAAGTGCAGAGACAGGATGGATTAGTTCATCAGAGTTCTCACTTAATGTTTGTACTGCCCTTGCTCTGTGGAATTTGTGCCACGTGGATCTTGGAGCCTGTGTTTTAAGAAATAAGAACAGTGACTCCTCACTGCAGGGTAGAGAGAAATTCTAATTGTGGCCTAAGTATTTTCAGAAGCATGTAATAAGTGTGACATCTTAAAAATATATTTAATATTGTATTCTTAGAACCCCAGAAACTAAACAATACTTGTTTCATTTAAGCTTCAAATGAAAGCTTGTCAACTACTCTTTTTTTTTCCTGCCAGAAAGTAAAGATAAACATGTAAGGTTTTTCCATGTTCAGCTCTCTTACTATTAAGTAGTTGCATATGAATTAAAACTGTTTAACTGTTACAGTTTATTCTTAAAAAAAAAAAATAAATTAAAAAGTCAATTTTATAGCAATTGTGAATAACTAATAATATGTTTAGAATAAAACTGTAAGTTTTGCCCAGACTTTGTGTGATCTTGCATTATTTCCCACCTATTAAAACGGAATAGGATTACTTCTTGTTGCAACAACTCTGGGACAGGAAGTGTGAGATGTTTAAGTTGTAAGTAATGACAGTCTTAAACTTGTTTACTTTGTTTCCTCAGTGATGGCATTTAACCTGTAATTTAACATGTAGCAATATTAGTTTTCTCATGGTTTTAGATATTTCAGTATTTATTTATTTTGAATTGACTAAATTGCAAGTCAACTGGATTCCTTCCTTCTGTTGCTAGTACTGGCTTCTGTGGGTGGATGGTATCACCTACAGTAGGACTGTCGGCAGTCCAGGCAAGTCATGGGGCCTGAACGCATGAATCTGAGTCTGGGAGGTGAGAAAGCTGATAACACTTAACCTTAAAACTCCTCCTTCTGGCAATGTTTGGGCATTGAAAGTGGATTTTCCACTCTCCATAGTTACATGTGCATCATGATCCGGCCTTAGTTCTCTGCATACTTTCTTATTGTCAGTAATAATTTGCTTGGCTTATTTTTTTTCCCCTCCCCCTCAGTGTGATTGTTAAATACCTCTTTTTGTATTGCTGGCAGGAGTGTTTTCTACGTTGTGTGCTGTCCCCAAAAAGGAAGGTTACCTTGGGCTGTATAAAGGAAATGGGGCAATGATGATTAGAATCTTTCCATATGGCGCAATTCAGTTTATGGCATTTGACCAATATAAAAAGGTAGTTGAATTTATTTTGTTTTCCTTTTCTTTTTTTCTGCCTACAGATTCTATAAGTGAGCGAAACTAATACTGAAACTTCTGTCTTATTAATTAGCTGCATGTCTTTTCTAAGACTGCTTAATTTTATCTGAATCTACCCATTAAAAATGTCAGGGCAACAGCGAAAGTTTTTGCAGTGTTGCTTAAGGAAAAAAAATGCCACTGATTTTTGTACTTTTGTATTTTTTAGAATAATACTTTTTTATTAATGAAAGAAAAAGCTAAAGTCTGCTGCTATCTGTATTGCTGTAAGGTAGGCCTTTGTGAATAATGTAGGAACAAAATGTAAAATGGAGCCTCTTTATTATATTGCGTTGGGTTTCTTGATACTTGATGGATGGAACAACTTAAACTTGAAAGGGTGTCTAGATATGACTGCTATATTTGAGCTGACAAATGACTATGTCAGCCTCTAGATAAAAATGACCTGGAAGAGAAAATGCTCATTTCAGGGTCCCGCAAGATTTGTAGGTTCCTTTCTGCTCTCATGCATTTACTCTTTCATAAGAAATACATAATAAATCTCTGCAACATCTTCTGGAGATCAGGTCTCAGCATGAACATGTTTTTAAACATTGCTTTTATGTGGGAAAAATACCATTTTACTCTTAGCAGGGAGGAATTCTGTGTCTGAAAGGTCAGATTTAGTACCCAGTGATGTAAATTGCATGATCGTTACTGAAGACAGTGAGACTGAAATTGTGATTCCTTTCCCTAAAGAGCAAATTTCAGAAGGTTGATACAAAGAAGTAACTGTAATGAGTTTCATATGTTCTTTTTTTGTGGTGTAATCATAAATGCTGTCTATTTATGCTTGTTCTGTGTTGTGTTGAATAAAAGACTGCATGCCACGCTTTATAATGAAATGATATGTGAATCTGCAAATATCACAGCAGTTTCTTTTATCTGTTAATTACAACAAACACTGAAGATATTTTGCAGGAATGTGTCTTAAAGAAGGAAGATATGAATTTATCTTCTTTATAGCAGAAACTGCTTTTTAAATAGTCTTAGTTTTTTGAGAAAAGTCTGGAAACTAATTTCTAACTTCCTTCCAGGATGTAATGTAACTTAGGAAGTTCTTGCTCTCAAATGCTTGTTCGATTTCTTGTCTCCCTTTTTTTTTTTTTAAATCCAGTTAAACAAAGTCTTAGAAATATCTTTATAGTAGTATATTTCACATGCTATGCATAGAAGTAAAATGTACTCAAATGTGTGACTTTTCAACTTTGCTCAGTGTCCTTTGCTCTCTATCATGCAACAAGGATAGTATTCAGTTTGCATTGTTCGACACACATTAAAGATAACTAAATAAACAATTAATCTAGTTTCTGAAGTAAACATTACAAACACTTCCAAGTAATCGTTCTGCCTTGTTAGTAGAATTTTATCACTTTCATATTTTTAATAAGAAATTGGTAACAGCAGCAATGTTCAGAAAATTCTTTTAACAGTAATGAAGTGCTCTGGTTTGAATTTGTAGTGTTGTAAACTTCTTGGAAACAGCTACAGAGTTTGCAGTAGTGTGCCAATAAACTGTGTGATGTACTTCTCTGTATTTTCTGATGTACGACTATTGTAAATGTTCCCTATTTTGTAGGTAATAAAGAAGCAACTTGGGATTTCAGGGCATGTGCATCGATTAATGGCTGGATCCATGGCAGGTATGGTTTTGTACTTGGATTTTAGACATCCCTTTTGCTGAAAAGTTAATATTTGTTTAGAGGGTGATTTGATGTGTTTTCAGGTCAAACTGTTGCAAATTTGTATTAAGCAAAAATACTAGTAAATGGTTAATGTGACAAATGGTTGCCTAATTGAAAACTGTTTGTCTATGAGTAGTCTTTAAAATGTATTTGTTCAAGCGTTGAATTCTATGCTATGTTGTAAAGCATAGTTTTTGTAGTGTTTATTATGACTTTTAAAAAATGAAAAATCCAGTGTCATCAAGATGAAGTATAAAGAAGCAGGTTTTAGTAGAATTGGCTTATCAGGCTGTCTGACGTTGCTACTAGGTTGAACATAAGCCCCTAAAAGTAGAAAGAACTGTATGTCCTTAAAGGGGTGGATTCTTTGGATTTGCCAGAAATGTCTATACTTTTCAACATCCAATGCAGGATTATCATGATACTGTTTAGGTCATATGTGTAAATGTTAAAAAACTTTTATCAATTAGTGCAATAACAGTAGAAAACCCACTTGTAAACTGCCAGTATATAGTATGATTATACATTTCTGTTTTCCTCTTGATAGTCATTCAGCCAAAAGTAGCTAAGAAAAAATAGGGAAAGGTAAGTAGTAGTGGACTGATTTTTAATCAAGGTGGTTCTTCATATGCTTTTACCTTGTAGAACAGGCTTAATATTGTCTGATGACAGTCCTTAAATAGTTATGACATGAGTGTTAATATTTAGCTTATTTTGGAACAAAAATACTGAGGTTTGTTAATACTACCTTTAGTTAAACTAGGAAGACCTCATTAAAGTATTTTGGCTTTGCATGTCATCAGAGGAAAAGGAAAAAGAATGAAATGAAACAATTCAAAGATCCTAAAAACTAGCAAAACCCATTTAGCAAGATCTATTCCAGAACTTGGCTGGCTTTCTATCTGATAGAAATGGAAAAAATACATAGGTTTTTTGTTTTGTTTTGTTTTCTTTTGTCTTTCTTCCCCCCTGGCTTTCAATGTACCAAAGAACACTTCAACATTTCTCCCCTCCCACCCCCCACCAAAAGCTTATTATTAGCTTTTTCAGGAGTCTTGTCAGAGACCTGGAACCTGACTTGTGGGGCACTGTGAAAACGCTGAATAATCAGCTTAACTCTGTCAGTGTTGGACATGCTGGAATTCTTTGCATGGATAAATTAATAGCATCTGGCATCATTTTAAGCACCTTACTGGTTAAACCTGTTTTGTGTGGTTAGAGTAACAGAAATAAAATTAATATACAGTACTATCTGGAAAACATGATCAAATGAAATGCTTTGCATGGTGCATTTAAGTACAATATACCCAATAGTCTGGTATTGAGAACCCCAAAACTGAGTAGATGAGCTAGACTTAGGTGTGCACTGAATATAGCAGTCGGGTATAGAAATAGTACCACATGTGAGTGTCTATAACTATTTAGTAGGTGGCATTAACTGCTTTTGGGGATATTCATTAGATAAATAAGAGGGGAGGGTTTATATTGAGTATGCAAAGAACATACAGAGGAGGAAGGAGGCACTTAAGAGAGTGTGGAGTTTGAAATCTGATACAGAAGTTCTCTAGATTTGCAAACAAAATAAAACATTTAAAAGCAATTAATAATATTTCTTGCTTTAACTCCTGTGGCTTAGTCTCTTGCTGACTCCAATAAGGGATATGATTCTGTTTCTTCAACGTTTAAATGACTAAAGGAGACAGTGTGCTGCATGCACCCCAAAGTTGGTGGAGAAAGGTCTTCAGAGTTTCCTGGAACCCAGTATTATGCAGTTGAAAATGGATAACCCTTGTTTCCTTTTTGTCCTCTCTACACCATCTAGCCACACAGCTGTCTGCTTTCACTTCTGTGTAGCTACTGATACTTAAATCTTGCTTATGTCAGTGTTTCCAACATAACTAGCAGTCAACAGACATGCTTCAAAGTGGTGGGAAACATTTGAGTATCTTCTGGAACTGATAAACAGGATCAAAAGCATATCCACAGGGAAAAACAAGGCAATGAGGATGGGGGTAGTGGGGTGAGAGAACAGAAAAACCTATTGTCATGCATATATTTAAGGAGGCCAAGTTAAAGTTACTGTGGAAACTTTAACTCTGAATTTCCTGAGCCTTGTGTGATTCAAATTTCAGCTGTAACACCTCATTAACAGATAAATGGTGTATAACTGCTTTTAAGGAAGGACAGTGCTGGGGAGAAGATAGAGAAATCATAGAGGTTAGTGGGGTTCAGGAAATAAAATGATCAAATAACACCTGTATCCCAGGATGATTTTGCAAATCTAAACCTCTTTTTAGTTTTCTAATTGAAAAATCTGAATTAAAACACAGAAATGGGTATTTCCTCCCCTGCACTTGATTAACTTAACATCTAGTCTTTTTTTGGCTTTTAAAAATTTTTATCTAGAATAAACTCAAGTTCCATTAAACTGATACAGAAAGCATGTTTTTGTTTTTTATCTTTTTACTTTTAGTAAAAGTGATTAGGAAAGTAGTACTGATCTAGGAGGATACTGACTGTCTCATTTTTAAAGAGTATGTAATGAACAGTTATGTATTTGAATCAGCATTTTAAAAGAATCTGTGCTGTTTATTTCTTCAAGTGCAGTTCAGAAACAGAATTATATATTAGAGGTCTGGAAATAATTAGGACCTGTAAATTAGGTAGTTCTTTAACCTGTCTGATAAATTTTCTTTATCATCAGCTATTTCTCTGTATGTGTAGTTCCTGAAGCTTTGTTTTCTTCAGAATATGCCTCCTTGATATATTAATCTTTATATTAGTTATGGAGCGTGTCTTCCACAGTTTGAGGCTGTGACTTGTGCTTATCACTTTTGAACTGTATACCTCTGAATCACCTGGAAGTACTTAATTTGATCTACGTAGTTATTGATAAATAAGTACAAAGAGCATGATATGGAAATAATAAAAACTTGTGTATCAGATATGTTTGCAGTACCTGATCTTGGTAAATGTATTTCACTTGCCTTTTTTTTTTTCTTTGCTCCAGTTGTTTTTTTATTTTTATTTTCAAAGAAAGAAAATAAGAATGGAGGAATAGTAGGGAAATTGGGAGACAGAGATAAATCCCTGTATAGCTAATCTCATTGTTAACTCCCAAAGCCTGGGAAGCAAATCAAGGACAGTCTAATTCCTGTTGTGCTTCATTGATGCTAAGACTCAATAAAGGTCTGGGTAACCCAGTGTCTTTTCCCTAAGAGGGGTCAAAGGTACTTGAGGACAATATGGTAAATGAAGAATGGTCTTTCCCTGACTTCCAAGTCAGCATTTGCAATGAAAAAGTCTGCTGTTTTTGAAGAAGCAGTTCCTTAAAGGAGGAAGGAACTCTATTGCCCTATTACAGTTATTTCAGATCAGACACTGGGAATTACACTATGTATCTCTTAACTCTTGAGATAATTCCAATTCTGTCCTGTTCAACCATGAGAGAGATTTTTGGCTCAGTTCTCATTAACTGGGATAGCCTTTGCTTTCTCAAGGCAGGGAATCAGCCCTGAGGTGCTATGGTCTGACTTCAGATAACTCATAATATTTAGAGACTAGAGATGAGGTTAGTAATTTTGTAGACTTCACCACAACTTTGTGTCCCAAAGCTGGCCGCTATTCCTCCCAGAAAGGATAGTGACTCTTCTAAGCCTCAAAATAAATCTTGATCCCTTGTATGTACGTTTTGCTTATATGAACTGTAAGCAGCAATATGCCTCTCCCAGCTGCTTCAAGAAAGCATATTTTGTGGCTGATGTTAGAAATATCATTTTTTTTTTCAGAATTCATGGATAGAGGATTTAAAGTATCACAAAAAAAAGAAAATCATATTTAAATCCTTACTACATATGGTTTCTTTCAGTTCCATCTGTTTGGTTTTTTTTTTTTTTTCAATCATACTATTTTTGGACTGTGTTCACTAGTTACTGTGTTCACCAAGCTCATGGTTGCTCTGTTTGCTAGTGTGTTCACAGAATATTCCTGGATACATATCAGTGCATGACTGGAAAACATATCAGTGCATGACTGGAAAGAGAAGAGGGGATAAAGTCTGTTTTCTGAAGTGGGATTACTTTCCTGTGAACTCTTAAGATTTGTAAAAGCTTTTTTCCTTCTTTTTATTTTTTTTTAAAAACCTGCTTGTATTCATCCATTTTACAGTATTTCTGGACATCTTGGGCAATCCGTTAGGAAAAGGCTGTAGTCTGAGGGATTGCATTTAATAATGTAGGTCAGTGGAAACGGTTCTAAAGTTGCTTTGCTGTTTTGCAGCTACCAACTTTTGAACCCTACGGGTGAGACATCAGAAATCAACTGCAGATGTCTGCTTTTTCTTCAGAGGAATCATCCAAAATCTCTGAAAGAGATGTTATTCTTCTAAAATAAATTACTAGTAGGATACTCCAGAAGGCCACAAACTTTACTCTCAGTTTACAGTTGACCAGTGTCAGCTTTTTGGATGGCTCACAATGTTGTTTTTTTTTTTTTTTTTTCTTCTCCCCATCTAATAATCCTGGTATCTTCTGTTAGATCATTCAGCTTACTAAAGTTGCTTGCTTTTTTTTTTTTTTTTTTCTTTTCCTCTTCTCTCCAGACATAAAAGTTATGAGGAGTTTGTTTGCTGGAGTTGTGTTGTGTTTGGGTTTTGTTGTTGTTTCTGTGTTTGGTTTTTTTTTTTTTATCCTCATCCCTGTTGTGGTTTTCTCCTGATCCTGTGGAAAGGAGGGGAAATGATACACCTACAAAAAAAGATATTAAGAGACTATTAAAACTTAAGAGGAAGTGGCAATTTCCTGCCAACGCAAAAAGTGTGCTTGTCTTCCGTAGGACCAATTTTAAAGGGTGATATTTAGCTAAATCAGAGCAGCTGCTAGAAAAGAATATAAATCACAAAGTTTACCAGTATTGGGTTTTTTTTTTTTAGTGATGGTGGTATACCACCAGAAGATGACTTATGTAGGACCAATTTTAAAGGGCGATATTTAGCTAAATCAGAGCAGCTGCGAGAAAAGAATATAAATCACAAAGTTTTTTGCTTTCTTTTTCTCCTTTTACCAGTATTGTTTTTTTTTTTTTTGTGATGGTGGTATACCACCAGAAGATGACTTATGTTTTTAGTAAACAATTTTAACTATTCCATCCAAATAATTTGTCAGCAATTGAGTGCTTTACCTCAAAAACTTGCAGGAGGAAAGAATTTGTTATTCAAGTAACTGTTAGAGTTGTTCTGTTGAACTGGAGTTCTGTTTCCAAAATTACAAGTTGGTCAGCATCTAATCAGTTTTGAAGCAGTGCATAACTGGATGAATCTGAAGGTTTTTTTTTTTTTTTTTTTTTTTTTTTGTTTTTTGTTTTTTTGTTTTTTGTTTTTTGTTTTTTGTGTTTTTTTTGCATCCTAAGTCTAGAAATAGCTTTTTTTGGTTAGAATTTTAAAACAGAAGTGCTGGTGTAACATGAACTATTAAAATGCTTATATACTAATGCATTGCATACTAATGTAATGCAGTTAAGTACTCTTCATCAGTATGATCCTGACTTTATTTTAAATGTCATTAGAATATATTTAGTATTTTCAGATGCAGTAGATACATCTATTTATATGCAGTAATCACATCAAATTCTGACACAATTTTTTTGAAATTAAACATATAAATTTGGTGGTTGGATTTTTTTTTTTTTTAATTTATTTTTTTAATATATGGTAGGATTAAGTTTCATGGTTGCAGTCCAGTAAAGCTGATGTACTTGACTAGCCTGATGCTTATGAGCCATGGACTTGAAGAAGACTGGCCAAGTGAATACAGTTAGGCCCATAAATCTTTGGAAAATCAAGGCGTAGGTGTGCAGCTTCAGTGAACACTAAGTATAAACATAAATCCTTCATGTGTCGCTGAAGTCAGTTTTCTTGTTTGCTGATTGTAAGTGACTTTAAGTGTTGCTTTAACAAAATAATTTGCATATGCTATTATGTTTACTGCCACAAAAGGAAATTCTAATTTTCAAAATAATCCTAGAATCAGATAAGGTGTAGGTGAGTTTTGTTTGCTTGTTTTGTTTTTGTTTTTAATAAAGGTATTACAGCAGTGATTTGTACTTACCCTCTTGATATGGTTAGAGTTCGTCTGGCGTTCCAAGTAAAAGGGGAACACAAGTACATGGGAATTATCCATGCATTCAAGATGATTTACACAAAGGTATTTTTTCTTTTAATCTTCAGTCCTGTTAAAACAAAATATGCTCTTTAAAGAATGTTGCACTGCATTGAAAATAGTGGCTTGGTGGAAAATAACATGACTTAATTGTGTGGACATTGAATTTTTTAATGTAAAAAATTATCTGGATGCTTCCTACTACTTAGGCTGCTAAGATGTAGCAAAGGCTCCCGTAGTGGGAGGTCAAAAACAGCAGAGAGAAGTTGTTTTTCAAAGAACAAGTAGTAATGATACAAAAAAATTTGGGGAGGAGGGATGTATAATGCAGAAATGTCTCCTAGATTGTGATGTTGGGTGTAGATTTTTGTCCTTCATTTTCACTTCTTTATCTCCTATGGAGCCAGGCAGTTGTCTCCTCAATTCTTCAAGCACAAGAAATGGAACCTGATGTTAGCTCCTTGGTGCTAGATGATGCTAGTCAGATTGCTGTCATGTGAATCTGTATGAACAGTTGTCTAACTTGTTAAGACATTTGTTGTACTTCTTGCCACAAATGTACTTGTGTTTTTCTTTCTAAGGAAGGTGGTTTTAGTGGGTTCTACAGAGGGCTGATGCCAACTGTTGTAGGAATGGCGCCATATGCAGGTAAGGTAAAAACAGAACGTGGCAGTCCTTCAGCAGTTATGCGTGCTACTAAATTTACAGAATGTATTTGCATGCCTAGTTAATTAGCTTCTGTTAAAATCAAGGCTTCGTTTTTTTTTACTGAATGGAGAGGGAAGGCCAGTAGAAGCATTTGTGACTCTTCAATCTTAATCTGCAGCTGATCAATGTGTGTTAAAGCATCTTCAATCAGCAAAGCCTAGCTTTTCTGAAACTTGGAGTTGAGAGAGAGGTAAAGTAGTGGTTCTTTCTCTTCTCCTTCCCAGTTTTGCCACAGGAAGGCATGGAAGATGTTTCTCTCAAACGGGTAGATCCACAAGAGAGCAGAGCGGTCTGTAGACGGAGACTTAGAGCCTCTATATTGGCTCCATCTCCTGGTGACTTTTATGTAAATACTTACACAAGCTAAAGCAGTGGCTGATGTGGGATGGAGGAACATGAGAACTGCCCAGCTCAACTACATTCCTATATAAATGAGAGATGTTCTTCAGTTAAAAAGATCTTAGAAGTTACACTTAACAGCAATCTAGTAATTTAAAACCCACAGTCTAGCTTATTTAAAACGTTTTTTTGATGTTAATGTTCCTGTGAAAGTTCAAAATACTATTTGTCTATTTCTCTGTGCTTAAGAAAAAGTTCTAAAAGAATTGGAAAATACTTTGATTTTGTAATTGCAGCTTTTTGTTTATGATGATGATGCATCGACAAATAGTTTGCTTTTTTATGAAAGTACATAAAATTAAATTTCCTTTTAGGTTTTTCATTTTTTACCTTTGGTACCTTAAAGAGCATTGGACTTGCTCAAGCACCTAACTTGCTTGGACGGCCTTCATTAGATAATCCTGATGTCTTAGTTTTGAAAACACATGTAAATCTGCTGTGTGGTGGCATAGCTGGAGCAATAGCTCAGACGATATCGTAAGTTTGGGTATTGTGTTTGGTTGGTCTTTTTTTTCTTCTATATAGCTGTTGATTCTGAATAAACTTTTATCTGAGAATATGATTTTATATAAGTCTAGTTATTAGTAAGGTTTTAAAATTAGGTTAATCAGACACTGGAATTCAGATATTTCCTCTTCTTTCATTTATTAAATATCTATTTAATCATCAGGGTCTTTAAAGATATATGCATTGAGTCAATTAAATTCAGACAAATCTCATAAAATCAGTTTGAATCTTGTTTGGTAAGCTATGAAATTTTGACTGTGAACATAATTTACAGAATTTTGTTATTCCAATGTATTTTCAAAACAATGTCACCTGTGAAGCCATAGAATTATAAAAAAAGAAAAAGAAAAGAAAAAAAAATCTTAGATATTGTATTTGGAATTTTTTTATTACTTTGCCTGCTTTCTCCATTCTCATGCTGTCCTTGTCATATTTTATTTTGTCCACAAAATAAATTAATTTAATGGACTTATGGCATCAGTTTTTCACTGAATCACTGCATTTTAAATGTCATTTTCTATTAATCCATAAACTGTTAATTTTATTTTCAATTCAGGTGTCTTCTCCCTCCAGCGCTTTAGAGACTGTTTTATACTCTCATCTGATCTTCATGTGTCTTCCTTACTCGTGCCAAATGGAATATATTAGGAGATCTGATTTGCTGGTTTTGGTTGTATAGGGGAGGTCTCCCTTTTTGGAGAACTTTCAGCTGTGTTGAGAATCTGAGCCGGATTCCTGACTCACTGAAAAGGGAGCTTGGAGGTTGCATATGGACTTCTTTGTATTCTTTTTTAAACAATATTCATATAGTCATCACACACCTGGTTGAACTGCTGTTCACATATCTCCTCTGTAGATATCCCCTTGATGTAACTCGTAGGCGAATGCAGTTAGGAGCGGTTCTCCCAGACTCTGAAAAGTGCCTGTAAGTATATTATTTTCATCCATGGTAATTGAATTCTTGGATATTTGAGCAAAGTTAAATTCTTAGTTTTAAAGTTTCAAAACAAAACCCCAAACTACTATGTTGTTGATGTCTTCATTCTTTTAATGAGTGAGTTTCCATGCAGACAAAAGCTGGCATTATCACTCTGCAGTTAAAAAAAAAAAAAAAAAGAAATCACAATGGCACTTTTGTTAGTAATACCCTGTTTGTATTAGTAACTTTTTCTTTTTTTTTTTTTTTTTTAAATTTTAACTCATAATGTCTTTCTCTAATATCAGCAGGATACCTAAGAGAGAGACTGCATGCTTCCACTGAAATGAAATGTGTTTTTTAATGGTGTAAAATCTGTTCCATAAGATGATTTTGCATAATACTGGTTTATTTGACCTTTCTTGCATTTATGGTAAAGTCCCACATCTCACACGTAGTTGGGGTTCCTCCAGTAGAAGTGCCATAATATCCTTAAAATCATAGTATTAAATCAGCATTCATCTTGAAAAACTTTCTGAATTTCAAATTGGCTCAACCAAATTCAATTCCAGGACAGTTTTATCTTGGTTACTTTCAATCTTGTGGGATTGTGTATATCTGAATGCAGTGTGATTCAGTGTGAACCTCCTGCATGGCAAATTGGATCTTAATAACAGTAGTCTGTCTTACTGACCTTTCATAAACAACCTAAATGTTGCTTACTGTGAAAGCTGCTCTTCTGCTTTCCTTAGCAGCCTTAAACCTGGTTTTTGTTTTGGTTTGGGGTTTTTTGGTTTGGGGTTTGTTTGTTGGTTCTTTTTTTTTTTTTTTTTTGCTTGGCTACTTTTCCACTCAATATACTTTTAAAATAAAAATGTGTTAATTCTTCTTGGGATTTCACTTTCTGCATTTGTGAGAACTACTTTTACAGACATTAGGCTTCCCAGTTTAACAATATTGTCGTGACTGTGTTTGGAGAGAGCTGTGCCTTGAAAGAGAGTAGGCATATATGTCTTTAGAGGATGAGAGGATAAAACAAGTGGGAAATCTTGAAGCTTTGAGGCATATGGAAGATGTTTCTCAAAGAGCAATGTCTTTAATAGCTTGGAAGTATTGAACACCTTACAGATTTTTTACATTGTATTTAACATCCACTCACTCAGTTTCAATATAAGTATGTGAGGAAAATCATTCTTGCATATACACTGCAAATTCTGCTTTTAATAAGGTCTAATATTATATACTTAACATAAATTCTAGCATTTCCCATTTGAGAGAAAATACTAGATCTTTGTCATGGTGGAGGAAGCTACACATACGCAAGAATACAGAGCTAATAATAAATTTTATATGCAGAGCTTTAGAAGGATGAGTAGTATGATTGAGTGCTCAAAGAAAGAGAACAGGATACAAGCCTAAATACTGACCTTTAATGCAAGAAGTGTGTGTTACACTGGGCAAATTATGTATTTTTGGTTTTGGTTTCGGGTTTTTTTGTTTGGTTGGTTGGTTTTTTTACTCCGTATTACATTTGTAAGAAGAATTGGTGCTTCTCAACTCCTTCCTGCCAGATAGGCAACAGAATATGCATAGCCATTCTGGTGTAAAATGTCCTAAAATGTCTTTTAGGGCAGGTGTTTTCAGACTGAAACTTCTTTAGATGGGATGGCACTGTCCTCTTTTCAACTCCCAGCCCTTGCAGAAGCTCAGACTGTCTTCTGAGTCCTCATAAGGACTATATGGAGTCCAGGTTTTTTTCTCTGTAGATCTATTAAGAAGCAAGTAAAACAAGTGTCTTGTATTTTAAAGAAAGTGATTTTGACTATTAAATATGTGTATCCAATAATGATTTGAGTTCTTATTTTTCCAGTACAATGGTGCAGACACTGAAATACGTGTATCAACAACATGGGATACGAAGAGGATTATACCGTGGTTTATCTCTAAATTATATTCGTTGTATTCCTTCCCAGGCTGTGGCTTTTACCACATACGAACTTATGAAACAATTCTTGCACCTCAACTGATTTTTTTTTTTTTAAAGACTTTCCTGTAAAATGACACTTATCAGTCCTCAAATTATATTGGTGAGTAAATTACTTGAAATGTAAAAAAAGCTATCTGTTACTGTGGAACTGCCATTGTCTGACATTCGTATTTTTGCCAAAATGCAGTTAATTTCTTGGAGTCAAACCAAGAGACAGATCAAAATAGACATTATTTAGCTATAATCATTTTTTTGCACTTGATCTTCTAGGCTTCATTAGATTAATTTTAAGAATTACACCATTTTAAAACTATACCCACATTTTATATGGGTTTCAAGCTGTTAGTTATTTAGCTTTATCACCATTCCAGGAGTTACACACATGGTTATATTTCTCTTTAAGCTAGTAGTTAGACATCTGTTCTTAAAAAATTAAATTGAATAAACTGATTTGAACAAATGCAGTGATTTTCATCTTCAAATACTTTACAGCTCTGTAGAAGCTGAACTCAGCAGACAACAATTTAAGCATCTTTTCATTCTTTTTTTTTTCAAGTCTTCTGTATACAAGAACAGTGTGTGTATCTTCAGATGGGTACATGTGAGAGTATCTTTAACCATTTCAATAAATAATGAGAAGATGTATTTAACATTATTAGAAATCTTGCAATTTGGAAACCAGTTTCTTGGTATACATTGTATTCTAAAAAAATGCTGTATCTACACAAATAAAGCCAGAGAGAACTTTTCCTGTGACAAGTGGTAGAAAAGATCTCTTTATGGCAGTTAGTATGGGCATAATCTTACAAGGCATTTCTGTAACTTTTCTGTGGAGCTTGATTCAGTTTATTGAAGGCTCAGTAGCTTATGTACTTTCCAGTACTAGCTCATGTAAACAGGTTTGTCCTTAACTTCAAACATGGTGACAAACAAGACTGTCTGCTGCTGCATTTACTTATTTAGGCATATGGACCATATTCAACCTCTTGCACAAGAGAAGAAAATGAAGATTGTATTGGAGACTGTAGATGTGTATATGTACTGTTTCTCAAGTATGGTATGCAATAGACTATTCTGTGTTTTCCTCCTCCTACAGTTCCTTTTGTAGAGGGGATTATTTTCCAGACTTGTTTATACATGATTCACATTGGTACTCTTGATTTTTCTCACTTGATTCAGGAAACTGTAAAGCATTTACTTCAAGTGATTTAAGTTATTTATTTATTGTAAATATTTTAGCAGTGTCTTCTAAGAATTGGTAATGGTTATGTTAAGTGGTGAATGGTTAGATTGATTTGCTTAATTTTGACAAATTTGACAAACTGGATTTTGAGTTATGTATTCAATACCAACTTTTGTGGCTCTTTTTTTTTTTTTTCTGGTTTCTTAAAAGTATGTATTTCTTTTATATTTAACAATGTAGCTATGGACAGAAAATGGGATGTATTTGAATTTATTTTATTAAAAATTTTGAACCTAATGTCTTTGTGTGTTGTAGCCAGAAAGAATGCATGTTTCTGAAATTAGCTGTATGTTTCCCCTTGTAGGTAAATCTGCATAACATTGTCACTCTTAATTAACAACAAATAAGATGTTTCATCTGATCTTTAGTCTCACTTCCCTCACTAGGAAAACTAGCCAATATCACAGTGAATTTTTATCTTTTAAAGTCCTTACAGTCCTACAGTAGAGCTAAATCCATCGTAATTAAAAAAAAAAAAAAGAGATGTGCCATTTTCTTTCCTGTATTATTTTACTGTGTGAGCAAATAAGCATCTTCTCAGGGGCCAGTTCTTTGCCATGTTAATTCTGTTAAAAGATGTTTAAATTAGAGTTTTACATCTTAATTTTACTAAAAGTGGTATGTTTGAGGAACTCAAATAGGTTTGAGCTGTGTCATGAAAAGTTAAGCATTTCTTACACAGAATAAAGCAGGATCCAGCATATTCATTCTTGAAAGGAAGAGAGAAGTAAAAAGTGTCCCCTAAATAATTGGGTGGGATATTGAATGTGAAAAATAGACTTATTAAACTGTGCTGTGTTTTCAGGATTAGTTTTTCAAATAACATTTAAAAGCATATGAATAATTTTAAATTTGGAAGTATTTTAATACTTTTGAGCAAGGTCTATTAAAGAAAAATAGTTTTGGCCAGGGTCTAGATGGGAGGAGACTGGAGTTTCTAGTTATTTTTTTCGTTGTTATTTCAAACTCTTCCTGAAAAGCCTATTTGTTTATTTCTTATTCAGCTAGAAAATAGCATTTATTTAGAATATCTGACTACCACAGTGGAGACATGGGACTGAATTGTAAATCATTTTTCTTTGTCTGCTGAAGGCCTTATGAAAACTGTTTATTTTCATTTTGAACTACTGAGGGATTTATTCCCTTGATTTTTCTTGTCTGTCTCTTCAGTATTTTCAGTGGGTTGAACAAGCAACATCTAATTTTAGACAGTAAAAAGTACAAGATTAGGCTCCAGCCAAGCTCATTTCTATGCCTTAATCACATATTTTCTAATTATTTTTTTCTGTTTTCTTTTTCAGCAAATGGAAGGGGCCTGAATATCTTTTTTTCTTTATTTCCTAAAAATTCCTATCGTAATAATCTCATAACTAATACTTCTATCCAGTGAAGTAGTTATTTTTATGAAGAACTGATTATCATAGAATCATAGAATCATAGAATA